ACCTCACATTCTTTTCCTATTTCTCCCTTTATTATGAAAAGTGTGAACAGATGACTCAGAGGAAACAGTGGCCTAGCTTTTATCCCACCTCTAAGTTAGACACATGTCTGCCCATTACATAGACATTTCCTTGCATCTCTGAGGATAGGATGGCCATGGGACATACATGTAAATACACATGGTAAATACATGGGAACCTATGGTTCACATGGTAAATACATGTGAACCTATGTTCTTCTTGACATCATAGATTAATAGTGGCCAGAGTCCACTTCCATAAGATTCTGCTTAAAACAGATGATGGAAGGACAGACTAGGGCACAAGTCTCGACCTTAAGGAACCTATTTTCCCATCTGTGAAATGGGAATATTATTTAACTACCATGAGACTAAAATGGATATGTCACTTGGCAATAGCCATAGCAGCTTGGCTTAGTGGGTGCTCAATAAAAATTTGTTACAGGCATGTTAATGAATGGATGGATTTATTAAAATGAAGGTAGAATTTACAAGTGTGTGTGTCACACACATGTTGGTTGGGGAGGGAGGGGTCTAGTACGTTGGAAAAGGAATAAAATAATGTAATTTAGATAAATTACAAAAAAAAATCAGTTTTCTAATTAGAAGAATCACTTAGCAGTGCACGCTATTCTGTACTTAATGCAAAGTAGAATTCACTGAGATTGTGAAGAAATCATAAACTATTCTTAAAAACAAATGAAGAAACTTGGAGGAAAAATAACATTCAATACCCTGAAACAGCGGTCGCCAACCTTTCAGACTTTGCGGACCACCAATTGGCAACCACTGCTCTAAAGGTTTCCTTAAATCAGCAGTCACCAACCTTTAGGACCTCATGGACCACTGTGGTCTGCAGACCACCGTTTGGTGACTGCTGCCCTAGAATACTTAAGCAAAAATAGTCAAACATTTGTAACAACACTTACACAAGTATCTTCAATATGCTATGCTGCTATAGGTAATTTTTAAAAACAATTTATTTAAAACTTTTTCTCAATTACAGTTTATCCTCAATATTGTTTTACATTAGTTTTAGGTGTATAGCATAGTGGTTAGATAATCATATGCTTTACAAAGTGCTCCCCCTAATATTTCCAGTACCAAACTGGCACCATGCATAGCTATTACAATATTATTGGCTATATTTTCTATGCTGCACTTTACATCCCCATGACAATTTTGTAGCTAACAATCTGTACTTCTCACTCTCTTCATCACTCCTCAAATTCCCCTCTCCTCTGGCAACCATTAACTTGTTCTCTGTATCTATGAGTCTGTTTCCGTTTTGTTTACATTGCTCTTTAGATTCCACATGTAAGTGAAATCGTGTGGTATTTGTCTTTCTCTAACTTATTTCACTTAGCATAATACTATCTAGGTGCATCCATGCTGTCCCATATGGTAACATTTTGTCTGTGTAATTATCATTTGAAGATGTTTTTGTTGATAGAGAAACATCAATGTGAGAGAGAAACATTGATCAGTTCTCTCCCTTATGTGCTACAACCTAGGATCAAATCTGCACCAGGATGATGCTCTAACCAACCAAGCCACTGGCCAGGCCAAGATCTTGTTTTTTATTTTGACTTATTATGGCCATTTATTGTTCATTTCCCTTCCCTTCATCTTAAAAAAAAAAAAAAACCCTTTAAAAAAAATAAAACTGGTTGGTGGTGATGAACTTTAGCTTTTTCTTGTCTGGGAAGATCTTGATCTATCCTTTGATTCTAAATGATCACTTTGCTGGGTAGAATAATCTTGGTTATAGGCCCTTGCTTTTCATCACTTTGAATATTTCATTCCAATCTGTTCTGGCCTGTAAAGTTTCTGTTGAGAAACCAGCTGACAATCTTATGGGAGCTCCCTGATACGTAACTGACTGCTTTTCTCTTGTTGCTTTTAAGATTGTCTTTAAGCCTTGGTATTTTAATTATAGATGTGTCATGCAAATGAGCTTTTTTGGGTTCATCTTGTTTAGGACTCTCTGTGCTTTCTGGACTTCTATAGTTATTCCCTTTAGCAGGTTAGGGAAGTTTTCTGTCATTATTTTTTCAAAAAAATTTCAATTTTTTGCTCTCTTTTCTTCTTCTGGCACCCCCAATGATACAAATGTTTTACCTTTGAAGGTGTCCCAAAGGCACCTTACTTTATCCTTAACTTTTCTTTTTTACCCTTTTCCTTTTTGCTGTTTTGATTGGGTGTTTTCTGCTTCTTTATATTCCAAATTGCTGACTTGATTCTCTGCTCCATGTACTCTACTGTTGAAACCCTGTAAATTATTCTTCACTTCAGTTACTGTTTCTTTTCATTTCTGATTCTTTTTTATGGTTTTCATTTCTTTTTTTATGTTGTTAAAGTTTAAGGTAAATATTCTGAACTAATTTTTATTTGTTAAAGTTTAAGGTAAATATTCTGAACTAAGTGTTTTTATGGTTGAGGAGTACTTCCCTTTAGATTAAAGCTTTGCTTCTTTTCCTGGAGGCAAGAACAAAACATAATTCTGGCTTGTTCATAGACTGTTCATGAATTTCTTATATTGGGAGCTTTTAGCCACCTGTCTGTTTGTTATTTCCACACATAAAAAAACAAAAACAAAACACACACACAAAACTAAACAAACAAAAACAACCTCCCCCCCACTAGGATTAGAATTAATACTAAAATCAGAATAAAAAATTTGGCTCATTGTTAACATCTCTTTGAAGGTTTGATGGCTAAGGAAACTGATGAATCTGGCTATGGATTTTAATGATCACTGAAATCATTTTCTCTGATTATTAATCAGGATTCAAAAATTTTAGCTTGGCAACACAACTACTTAAAAACCAAGTAAGGCTGAACTGTACCCAGTGTCCAGGAAGATTACAGTATTGAAAATCCCAGGAGCTAATGTTAACAAACAGGCAAGTGTGCAAAAAGCCTTTTTTTTTGTATTTGATATCATACTTAAAACTATTATTTACTTTCATTTACCTAGTCAGATATTTTTATGAATTGACTACATGTAATAGTAACAATAACTTTCTCCTTTAAGTATGTAATGTAGAGTAAAAACACATTAATGACTAAGAAATAAAATAAAAATCTATAATGTTAAATCCTAATGGAAAAGTCAAGCCTTAGTATCCCTGCCTGCATAGCTTATGCTCTTCTCTGATAATAAAAAACATCCTTAAACACTGACTAGGTCCCTTTTGGAGGAGTGACAAATATATATATAAACAATGCTATGGTTGAGTTATGCTTTTCCTTAGTCTACAGTTATTTTTTTGTGCCAATTTTATTTTACTATTAATATGTTGAAGTCCAATATTACTTCCAGCTAGGTAACCAACTTATTTGGAAATAATAACCCTCCTTTTGTTTAAATGAAGTGATGGTAGACATTTATTTACCAGAATCTAAGAGATTTCGAAGAGCTAAAAAATGACACAATTTAGTACAAACTGTCCTTTGCCTTTATTGCTTGTATACACAAAGATTACATTATAAAACTGAGTGGAAGGAGGAAAAAATAATGAAAGAAAAAGTTACCTGCTTTAGCATTTTTAAAAATAGTTTTGATAACTTAGATCAACCTGCTAATCTGAGAGCAAAACTACAGTACAATCATGATATAGTTCTAATAATCACATCAATTATACTTCCATTTTAAATTTTTTCTTAAAAAAACATTAATGCTATAAAAATGAGGTTGATGACATCCTTATTTAAAAGACACCTTGTACTGGTATCAAAATATGATTTATTTTAATACCAACTGAAAAAATAGATCTTATATAGCCTATTATTTCAATGAAGTTTTATTATTACTTTTATTTTCAAAATTGGTAGCAAAGTTACTGTTAACAATATAAATTCTCTCTTTATAAGTGTTGGAATTTCCTTAAAAGTGTTGAAAGGCAATAGACATTCTAGGATGGGCTTGCCAGAAAAATCAATTATTCTAATACCGATAAATAAGATGTTTGATAAATTTATAATTACTTCTTTAATTTCTTACTAATATTTCCTGATTTCCTAGTTTTTTAATGCATATCATGTTGTAAAAATATCTAAGTCCAAGCCTTTTCACTGGAGCAATTATTTCCATTTTCCATATTTCTCCAGTTTTTCAAATATACAGTAAAATAATCCAATAATTATTACAGGAAGGAATTATGACTTAAGTTGGATAGTGTTCATTTATTTTTTAATTTCATTGGAGAGATATTCATATTAGTCATAAAAGCTTTACAATTTCAACACACATACATGTCATCACAGAATTAAAAACCTTTTAACTTTATAAAGGGTTCCACTTTGTTTAATGTGTCCTAGTCAAATTTTCATCTAATGAAATATGCTTTTATTAAATATAGTAGCCACCACTTACCTTTAAATATTTTATGGATGAAACTAAGTTCAGTAATGATCCAAGGATGTTGGCATCAAAGACTTCAATTTGAATATTCCTCAAGGTATTGCATTTCTAAAATGCACCACCAATTATTCTAGATTTAGCATACCCTGTCTTTAATTTCGTATATACCATCGTCTGGGGAAAAAATTTTATTCATTTTTTTTGAGATGAGAAACAAGAACAGCATCATTCTTGAGGTTCCACCTCAAAAAAAAGGAAAAAAAAGGTGTTTTGCACATAGTAGCTAGTTTGATGCCACCTGGTTTTGTTAGGCTAGCCTCCACACAAAGAGCATGCATATACAGCCATGGCTCACACCTCTGTTTGGAAGTTGATTGAGAACTGCTGCTTATTCAAGTCATAGATGCCCCCATGTTAAGCAAGGAGACAGTTGAATTGCATGTCCACCGGGAGAAAAGGAAAATAAACAACGAAACAAATGCAGCAAATATAGGTAGTTGGCATTCAGAACATGCCAAAAAGCTAACACTCATGAATGATTGTCATTATAAAGGTTTTTGTTTCTTTAAAAAAAAAAAAAAGTCTTTGCATATTTTAAAATTTAAGTCCTAGAGAATCATGAAGTGCCTTGTCGTTTCTGTTGCTGACTTCTGATGACCTCTAGTTGTTTTTTGCATTGCTGGTAATAAGTAGAAAGGCTTTTGTTTTCATCTAAAAGCTTTTTATGTTCCTGTACCAGACGAGATGTATTTTGCTGGTCCTTTTCATCCTGGTCCAGTTCTGCAACTAGTTCTTGCCTGAAAACAAATACCAATAATAAGATATTCTACATGATAGAAAAATTCATATCTTAATAGTTAATGATGGAAGCTTAATGAAGTATACCTTTAATTCTGGGTTTATCATTATGTATCTTAGGTACACTACTCATGGAGATTTATGGGCTGGAATGAAAACTATCAATCACTCTTCTGGTATAAACATACAAATATCATAATTCTTTTAATAAGTAACTGTACTTAGGTAATTAATAAAAAGATAATATGGAATAATAAGTTTCAAAACATTTCATTTGAAATCCTTTTTGTGAAGGAAGGAAGGGAAAAAAGCTGGGAAGGGCTTCAGTTGACTACAGGAAAATAACACTTAAAGATTTTATAGTTTGCATTCTACTTTTATATTCATGTACTTATATTCTGAAGTCAGAATTCTATTTAACTACAGTGCAAAGTGGCAGTCAGCAGAACATTTGCAAGCTATTTAAAATAGATGCTATCAACTTAAATCTCTTACCTATTTTAAAACTGAGAACAATATCAAGTACTACTTTTAAATTGCATGTCTGCATTTTCAGGAAAGATCCTCAGTAGCCTAGTAAACTTTTAAAAGTTTCTTTTATTTGGGGGATATTAAGTATTAGCTCCTGAAGCAAAGCTACTGAATATTCCTCAATAATTAATGAAAAATCGTAAAAACTATTTTTGAGTAACATTTCTCAGTTAAAGTAAGTATTTAAATTGATTAAATATATCATAGCTTTCACATCCCCCAATCTACTATTTGCTTTTTCTAGTACAGAATTTTTCTTTCAAATGATTAAAGTATGGAAAAAGTATAGATTAAATATGTGAAATAAAAAATACAGAGTTTATGCCAGTGAAATTACTACAGTGTTTTGTTTTGTTTTTCCAACATAGGGCCTATTCGCTAAAATTTGTTAAAAATAACAGTGAATTAGTAATACCAATAAACAAACAAACAAACAACCTGTTAATTTAATTATAAACAAATCTTGGTTAAAAGCATTTAAGCCGAAACCAGTTTAGCTCATTGGATAGACCGTCGGCCTGAGGACTGAAAGGTCCCAGGTCCAATTCCAGCCAAGGGCATGTACCTTGGTTGCAGGCACATCCCCAGAAGGGGGTGTACAAGAGACAGCTGATCAATGATTCTCTCTCCTTGATGTTTCTTACTCTCTATCCCTCTCTCTTCCTCTCTGTAAAAAATAAATAAAAAATATATATATTTTTAAAAAAGCATTTAAAAATTAATGGGGCGTTAATTTTCACATATGACATATGGACAGGAAATTTTGTCCAATAAATCTAAAGTCTATTAAATTGAGGTCTGCAAAATCGAGGGTTTACTATATCAGGTTGAAATCATTTAAATCACTATTATCAGTAAATTGTGATGAAATTATTTTTTTTTATTTTTCTTGGAAGTACAAACAGAAAACTTTCCATAGATTACTTCAGAAAATGAGATTATTTTTTGTTTTATTAGATAGAGGAAATCCTGTTACCATTTGTATATATAGCTTCCATGATTTTTTCCCTACATTTCATTTTAGTTATCACCACAAATCAGCTTAAGAGGTATAAAATTTCATGCTTAAGTAAAGATTTTTTTAAAACAAGAAATGCAAATAAAATATTGTAGAAATTGTACTTTATGTTTCTAAAAACAAAGCATTATTAGTAAATAAAATTATTTTACCTATGTCTAAGAAAACAAATCTAAGTTGCTTAACTATACCTCTAAGAGCATAAAACATGTTTATGTGCCACCAGTTTACTTTCCTTAGTACTACTATAATATATGTCAAAAGGGTTAATTTTTGCATGAAAAATAGTGAAAGGGTGCTTAAACATATATAAAATCTCCAAGTTAGAAATATGCTTAATCTTTAATTCTAAAAATGATAAAGTTTTCATGTCTTTATTTAATACTAGAGGCCCGGTACATGAAATTCGTGCACTAGTGTGGGGGTGCCCTCAGCCCATCCTGCCCCTCTCACAGACTGGGAGCCCTCAGGCATGTCTTACTGACGGCTTAGGCTTAGGTCCGCTTCCCCATGGGGAGCGGGCCTAAGCCTCAGTCTGGCCTCCCTCTGTGGGAGGTGACCATGCTGATCTGGGGAAGGCACCAGCCCATCACCCCGCTGCTGCTCCAACTGCCACAGCTGCCAAGGTGTTTTCATCAACACGGACTACAGTTCTTTCACCACAAAAAAAAATATGACGTTTTTAGCCATTTTCAAGATGTGTCTTTCATAGGATATGACATTTTTTTCTTTCTTTCTTTTTTTTTTTTAATCCTCACCTGAGGATATGTTTCCATTGATTTTTAAGAGAGCTTGGAAGAGAAAGGGAAAGACAGAGAAACATCAATGTGAGAGGGACACTTCAATTGGTTGCCTTCTGCATGAGCCATGAACTGGGAGGAGTCTGTAACCTAGGTACATGCCCTTAATCAGAATTGAACCCGGACCCTGCAGTTGGCAGGCCAAGGGTCTAACCACTGAGCCAAACCAGCTAGGGCAGGATATGACATTTCTTAGCCCCTTCAGCAGCAGACCTTAGTTTTTCCTCCAGGAGTGTGGTGGAAAAACCCTAGATCACCTTCTTGGATTCTTATTACCCAAGTTACCAAAAACATTGCTAGTGGTGTATTGGGAGGTTAGCCAATGAGCAGTCAGAAAAGGTGTTTCCTCTGCAGCTCATGTGCAGAGGACCCCCTGCATTGAGTCTGCTGGGCTGGGGGCATGCCACGAGTTAAGTGGCGGTGGCCCGGGGTCACGCCCCTACCCCAGCAGCCCTCCCTCCCTTCATGGCTGGGGCACTGGACGCTATGGGCGTCACTGTGTCGGGGTGACAGTTAATTTGCATATAACCCTTTTATTAAATTGGATTGCACCTTAACATATTTCAAACTCAAAATACTGAATTTTAATTTTTATTCATAAAAGATGACTTACTTTCTCTGTAATAACAATGCAATTTCTGTTTGAACTTTCATATATTCTTGTGCCATTTTGCAATGCTGTTCAAACACTGCCATAGATTCTTTGGAGTTTGGGCATGGTGCTAGAGGCTGAAAATAATTTTTAAAATGTTAAAACATAATTAAATCAAATCTCATTATCTAGCTAAGGTGAGATTTAAAATAATGACTATGCTGTATTATTTTTATAGCACTCAAGTAATGATCTTTTAAAAATAAGTGTCCAACCATGCCCTAGAAAATCTGTGTCCTTCTGTCAGAGTTAACTCAGAACTTAAATTTACACTTGCTGTTTTAACAGTTGTTCCTGAGAACCATGAAGAGTACTCTTGGACTCAAGGCTTTATATTTCAGGTTGACAAAAGGCATTATACCAAAAAATATTTGGTAGACACTAAAGTGTATTACTTAGATTTTAGACACTATGAACATGACAATATAACACAAAATTTATTAAAAATGAGCAATACATATGAATTTTATATTTTATTGCACTAAAATTAAAGAACAAAAAAGGCTATTCTTGGCATTCTTAAAGGTATAGAGTATTTTAAAATGACTATTAGAGTAAGAACATGATTTTGCCCATTTTAAATTTAATTAACTGAAAGAATCATTTATTTTAACAAGATGAAGGAGATTAAAAACATAAATAAATGAATATACAAAGACCAAAACACAAATGTCAGCTTTAAAGATAAATTCTCTAAACTTTTTATAAAAAAAAAAAGTAAACACTGACTGACAAATACAGGACTCCTTTACCTGTAGTTGGTGATCCAGTGTAAGATAGGCCATCGGGATGGAGTTATCTGATCCATTCGTATCTGTAATTCAAGCATGGATTTTATTTATTTTCTGTCATAAATACTTTAAAACAAGAGCAGGAAAGCATGCATGAAATATTGGACTTTTCCCCCTAAAGTAAATAATATAAAAGTTATTACTGGCCCGGTGGGCATGGATCAGTGGTTTGTTGACCAGGAAGTCACAGTTTGATTCCAGGTCAGGGCACATGCCTGGTTGCAGTCTTGATCCCAAGTGAGGGATGTGCAGGGACAGTTGATCAATGATTCTCTCTTATCATTGATGTTTCTATCTCTTCCCCGCCCCCTTCTTCACTGAAATAAAAATATTTTTTTAAAAAGTTACTATTGATAATGAAGAATCTAGTTCTGAATTCTAAAGGTAAACTAAACAGAGAATATCTAATTACCAGATAATTAGAATGCAACCATACTCTCATACTTATAATTTAAGTTGGCCATCTTTTATAATAAAGATATAATATGCAAACTGACTCTCACACCCTCACAAGATGGCTACCTACGACCAGGCCGATAGGTAAGGGATGACCAAATGACTGAACAGCAGGCTGCGTGGGGCAACCAGGCTGGCAGGGGGGCTGTGAAGGGCAACCAGGATGGCGGGGGGGGGGGCCACTTAGGGGCAACAGGCCTGCAGATCGGGTGACCAGGTGGCAGGGGAGGGAGGGGAAAGTTAGGGGCAATCTGGTGGAGGGGGAAGTTGGAGGTGACTAGGCTGGCAGGGGGGGCAGTGAGGGGCGAATAGGCCAGCGTGGAGAGGGGCGGCAGTTTCAGGGCAACCAGGCCGGCAGGAGGGGCAGTTAGGAGCGACCGGGCTGGCAGAGGTGGGCAGTTGGGGGTGACCAGGATGCAGCGATTAGGAGCCAGCAGACCAGGATTGTGAGAGGGATGCCTGACTGCCAGTTTAGGCCCAACCTAAGCCAGCAGTTGGGACACCCCCCAAGGTGTCCTGGATTGGAGATGGTGCAGCTAGGCTGAGGCAACAAATCCCCCCCCCCCAACCCCGGCCTGTGAACAAATTTCGTGCACCGGGCCTCTAGTAAGTTAAATAATATTAAAGCTCATAAGCCCTTGTTTAATTAAATATAAAAAACAAGGATATACTCAAGTGCTGATCTTTTAAAAGTAAGAAAATCTGTGTCCTTTTGTCAGTTAATTCAGAACTTAAGTCTACATTGCTGTTTTAACACTTTTTTTGTTATACAGAACCATGAATACAGTACTCTTTATATTTAAATTCAGAATCATGGCCTTTACATTTATAATTCAGTTTTCACAGACTTTACCTACGCAAACCCACATCTGCTTCTTCTCCTGATCATGCTAGGTTTACTATAAGGCTGTGTCAACTCTGGCAACGTTAGTGTTCCTTAATTGGGGAAAGGGGAAAGCAAGAGATACATTCTCTTCTAGTGTGGGTCACCTCCAATATATATAGATTCTAGTGAGCCCCCAACCCTCCCAATGAGAATCACTGTGAAAAATGAGCGAGATTATTGATGGGAGTATAGTACATATAAGAAAAATGTGGCTCAAAGTCATGCCCAAACTGTTAAATGGGTTAATTCAAACAACCAGTCAAATTTTATCAAACTTTTGAACATATAGCTTATGTTTGTCTTTTAACAGAGGTAAACTGCCCTAACTATTGCTTAGAAGCATGGAATAGCCTTTTCTTGACATTAATATTTAAATACAATTCCAGAAGCAGGTAGGATAACTGTGAAGTAATATGGAGTTTTCTATTTCAGAAGTAGCTGCTTTCCCACTCTTACTGGAGAATAAATGAACAAAAGAAGTGAGCTGCTCTTCAGCCCTTTTTCTGACAAGCAACTGACTGAAAGAGCAGTGTGGATAAAGGCAAGGCAAGGGTAGCAGCGAGGCTCTGCATCCATGAAAAAATGTAAGAGTTTGATGGCTCAGTAACATCCTGAACTTATTGTTGTTTGTTATTTAACTATTGAGAATGTGCTTGCGAATGACTCCAAAAGCTAACAGACTAAATGATATAATGCATATAAGAAATGCCACACAATACTGACATATGATAAGCACTCAACACACAGTGATTATTATTCTGGTTATTGATACTAAATGGAGAATAAGGAAGAGAGGGTATTTTAAAACACTCAAGTTTGTATTTCAGACTGAAAAGTAATGTTTATTAAAGAATAACAGTATTGCCTAGGAGAGCCTTATTTACCCTAAAATCATACGCTAACATAAAAGTTTTTATGAAATGGCTAAATGAGAAGTATAGTTAATTTGTTATCTTTCTGACCAACCCTCTCCTCATTCCCAACAGCTATTTCAAACCATGCTCCCAGTACTTTCCACTAAGTTAAAACTGGTTAAAAATTATTTTTCCTTGCCCTAGCCAGTGTGGTTGGAATGTTGTCCTGTAAACTGAAAGATCACAGGTTTGATCCCCAGTCGGAACGAGTATGAGAAGCAACCAATCTATGTTGTACTCTTGCATTGATGTTTCTCTCTCTCTAAAATCAATAAACAAGCCCTAGCTGGTTTTGCTCAGTGGATAGAGCATCAGCCTGCAGGCTGAAGGGTCCTGGGTTTGATTCCAGTCAAGGGCACATGCTATGACTGTGGGCTCAATACCCAGTGGAGACATGAAGGAGGCAAATGATTAACGATTCTCTCTTCTCATCATTGTTGTTTCCTCTCTATCCATCTACCTTCCTCTCTGAAAGCAATAAAAATATATTGAAATCAGTAAACATATCACTGGGTGAGAATTAAAAAATAAGTTAAAAAATAATAAATGATTTCCCCTTGACTTTATAGGAACAACTGTCTTAAAAGTTTTTCAATTTAACACTTCTACTATTACGCATTCTTAAATTGTTGACACTTGATGTATCTTATTAATCAGTACCCTGTATCTGTGTTTCAGAATTCAGTATAATATATCAAAGTTTCACAATATTCTGGGGGTGGAAAAAAGTCCAAATATTTATTCAAACAATTAAACCCTTCAATGGTGGAAACTTAAGGTCCTTTGTTAGACATTAGTTTTCTCTAAACCAAGAAGTGAGATTTCACTTTCTCACTTATACACAATCTGAACTTTAACTTTTAGTGTCTAATAGTAATAACTGATTGTTAGGCAAACTCTCCATGAGAGTTTGTTCTTTAATGTTTCAATTGCTAATCAAATTTAATCTTGTTTCCTGAATGTCAAGACTCACATTTCTTTGGTTAAATTAGGCCAAAATATATCTTCTGGCTCCTCAAACACAATACTTATAACCATCTCATAGTCTCTAAGAAGGTGTTCCCTTCAGGTGCAGTATTGTCTTCTTTCCGTTTTATTATTAAAGAATAAGTCTCACAATTTTAAAAAATGTTGCAGATGATGCCAGGTTTTACCTAATTGATCTTAACTATTAAAATTAGCTGGCACTACAAATTTAGTAGTTTATTCTATATCATGACTACTTTACTTTTATATGTCTATATCATGACACTCTAATCAGATTGCATCAATGGGCTGTGTCTTATACTTCTTTCTATGTTGGCCAAGTACTAAGCCTAGGAGAACTAAATACTTGGCCAAGTGTTAAGCTCAAGAGAATTAGTTCTTGGTCAAGTACTAAGCCCAGGAAAACTCCAGTTTTCCCAAGTTCTGTGGCTTCCTCTACTAGGCCCGGACAACTTTCTCAGTATACATTTCTCTTTTTTTTTATTTTTAAAATCTCTACTATGTTATAAAAAGAAACCCAGAAACCCACGAGCACTCAATATGTACAGTGATTATTAAATCCTTCTGCTCTTTATTTTTCTCTGGAAAACACATAGACTGCTTTCTCGTTTAAATGATAATAATAATAATAAAAAATAATTAATTAGGTTGTTTTAACTTATGTATGCACTTCTAATTTTTTTTCCTGAATCAGTGGGCCTTCAAAGAAAAAGGCTTTATCTACCCCTTCCCTATAATTTATTATATTAGCTTTCTGCAACACTTTTATATTAGCAAGACTTTTCTTATAAATTGTGCAAAGCCGAACTTCATTAATTATAAATTTAAACCAGAGCCTCAACTTCTAAAATTGCATTCAACATTATTTAAAAATGATAACCACACATTTGTAATAATTTCAAAGCAAAAAAAAAAAATTAGTTAATATAATAAGTTGGACCTATGTACAATTTCTAGCTATTGATATTTTATGGTACTTTAGGTTCCAGATAAGAAAAAATGAGATGGGGAATGGAAGGGTGGGAAAGCACATGAAGTGGAAACACAGCAGTTAAGTGAGATGGACCTAAGAGAATTTGATTTTACCCGCAGGTTGACTTTAATCCAGGCTGAAGTCAGGAGGCCTGCCATGTGTAGTACCAGGTTTAGACAAATGCTGTAATGTCAAGGAGAGTACTCCCTCACTGAGGATTTAGGAACCAAAAAAAGCTGATATTACCTGACTGTCAGTGGTCAAGTATGTCAAGAGCATTTTCCTGTCTGCCTCTAAGCAGAAGCACATCATGATGAATTCTGCACATGTGCTGAGTAGTGGTAAATATTTTGAGCAATCTTAGGTTGGATTGTGCTAGGGGTGAAACTTAGAAGAGTTTTTGCTACCGCTAAATTTAAACTTACTAAAACTAGAGAGTACACCCCTGGCTAAACATAGTTCTATCTTACATGACACAGAGAAAAGCCACCCAAATATTTTTTAAATTAAATTATAAATTTGATTAAACCAAGCCACGTATTTATAAATACTTATAAGCAGTATTTTAGTTTGTGAACACAGAGAGCTGACTTTTTAATTTCAATTTAATTGCCACTATTAATAACATAGTTGATTTTATATAAAATCCCAAGTGATTTAACTTTCCAAGGTCTAAGAGATTGCTGTTTGTTCTCTGACATCATAGCATATAAATAATTTTTATAGGAGTATACTGCTGAGTATTTATCAAGGTATTCTTCTAATGCAGAGGAAAAGTTAATTCCACTATAACATATAATTTTCTGCTTGCCCATAATAAAAATATTCTATCACGAGATTTTAATACTAATATTTTGACCAGATAAATTATTCATGTTAGGGAGTTTTAATAATTCTTAACAAACTTTATAAACAAAATGAAGTTTCCCTATTATTTAAAATTGATTCAAAAGGTCACAATCAGAATTTTTTTTTTCACTAAAGTACCTGGTATCTTTAAAACAAAAGACTGAGATGAAGATGATTATTTTTACCGTTCTGCTGAATTTAGGGATTTAGAAGATAAAGACTTTACTACTACCAACCAGTAGAATGGATCATATTGGGACAATAACAGGCTAAAGTATCAAGAATACAGTATCTCCTATTTGGGGACCCCCAAACCAACCATCTTCAAAATACATGTTTAGCCGAGACCGGTTTGGCTCAATGGATAGAGCGTCGGCTTGGGGACTGAAGGGACCTCGATTCCGGTCAAGGGCATGTACCTTGGTTGCGGGCATATCCCCAGTAGGGGGTGTGCAAGAGGCAGCTGATCGATGACTCTCTCTCATCGATGTTTCTAACTATCTCTCTCCCTTCCTCTCTGTACAAAATCAATAAAATATATTAAAAAAAAAAAAAAAACCACACACACACAAAAAACACCACAAAATACATGTTTAGTATCTGGGTGAAAAAAAATGAAGAGGGCTAACGGTCCCTGACTCTATACTCAAAAAAATATTTTTAAGTTTATTACCAAATATTTATTTATTAATATGAAAATCTAAACTACTGTATAATGCCTGCTTCATTTTGTTGTGTAATTACAACTAAAGTAATGACACAAGTAAATGAAAATAAACATAGTAAATTCCACTTCATAATTAAAATGAGGAAATAAACTGGTCACCTATGGAATCATCAGGGGTCCATGGATGACTTCGAGCTGACTTTTCTGAGGTTGGTCCTGAGGTAGTAGTGATCATTCTGATGCTAGGACTGGATGACCTACTGCTCACCTATAGGAAAAAGTTAAAGGAGATTTATTTTTTTTAAATGACAAGAAAAATATTTCCATTATAAGGCAAAGGACAGAATTTCATTTTTATCAATAGAGGTCCCAAAACACTTGCAATAAAACCTTAAATCCTCTACATACAATATATATACATATAGACACACACATACTGAACCTTAAGCATTAATGGCCTGAAGTGTTTGTTTTGACTGCCTGCTGCACCCAGAAGACCAGATGTAAAGTCTTGGGCTTTTGTAGGGTAGGAGTAAAGCTGGAGAACCCTCATGCTTAAAGCTAAAAGCCAAGAGAGGCTTCACACTCAGGGCAAGAAGGAACTAGGAAAAATGAATCTATCCTACAAAAGAAGATAAGCAAATTTGTAGCTGAGTGGAGGGAAGAAAATGTGTTCACTATGAATCTGCAAAAAATTTCCATAATTGATGAGGACAACAAATGCCAACCATAACAAATTCCAAGCAGAAAAGTAAGAGAAAATTTATGATACCGAGTTAAACCTGGGGCAAATTATAATCAAATTCCAGAAAACAAAGACAAATAGATGAGAGTAAAAAGCGGCATAGAGAATAGATAGATAACCTATACAAAAATACCATTTAGATTCTCAATAGCAACCAGAAGAAAGTAGAATTACCTTCTAACTGCTAAAATAAAATAACTGAGAACCAGAATTGTTTAGCCAACAAAATGTGAAGAATAAGGTCAGAATAACATTCTCAGACGAGCAAAAACAGAGTCTAGCATTCATAGACTCTTACCATAAGTTTTCTATAACTTTCCATAAGACTCTTTCCATAAGTTCTTCAGGGAGAAGAAAAATGTTTCCCTAATGGAAGGGCCAAATTGAAATGAGGATTATTGGTAAACACAAGTATGAATCCATACACCGAAAATATTAAACAACGAAAACAGTGATTTATAGAATTACAAAATAAATAAATAATATAGTACTAAAATCTGAATAACAATAGATCAGCAAGAGAAACATAAATTTAAAGATATTTATAATGTTCAGGATGAGGGTAAAGATATTAACTTTAGGTTAGGCATGCATGTTAAAAAGTAATAATACACCTAACTCTCCAATCAGAAAGTAAGAATAGAGTAAGAAATATACTTATTGAATTCAAAGGAAGGCAAAATAGAGATTAAAAAAAAAAGCACAAAATAAGAGAGAATAGTAATCATCTATCTATATAAAAACCTAATATGCCAATCAACCAAATGGCAGAACAACCTGCAGAGCGACCAGGGGGGTAGGGGTGGCAAGCAGGCAGTGCCAAGCCACCAGACAATGTAGGTACCAGTGGGAGCTCCCTACCCCCACTGGTCACCCCACAGATCAGCCCTGATTGCTGGCCAGGCTTAGGGACCCTACTGGTGCATGAATTTCGTGCACTGGGCCTCTAGTAATAAATATAAATGAATTATAATCTCCAGTTAGATATTTAAAAAAACAGATTATCAGGCTAGATTAAATGCTGTGTAAATAGACATATCTTATTCACAGTGATAACTCAGGTTAACAAATAAAAATATAACTAGGCAAAAACTACTCCCAATAAGGATATATAGCTACTAGAGGTCCAATGCACAAAATTCACACAAAGGAGGGGGGTGTAGGAGGAGCCTCAGCCCACCCTGCACCCTCTCTCAATCTGGGACTGCTGGCTCCTAACTGCTCACGTGCCTGCCTGATTACCCCTAACCACCTCTGCCTTGGCTCCCGCTGGGGCTGCCTTGTCCGAATGGTGTCCTGAAGGTTGTTTGGCCGTCCGGTCTAATTAGCTTATGCTTTTATTATTATAGACATTAGTATCACAGAGAATATATTTTAGAGCTTAAAAAATTACTAGGGCCCTAGCTAGCTTTGCTCAGTGGAAGTGCATCGGCCTGCAGACTGATGGGTCCCAGATTTTATTCTAATCAAGGACACATGCTTGGTTGCAGGCTTGATCTCTAGTAGGGGGCATGCAGAAGGCAGCCAATCAATGATTCCCTCTCATCATTGATGTTTCTATCTCTCTCTCCCTTCCTATCTGAAATCAATAAAAAATATAAATTAAAAAATTAGTAGGGAAAGAAATTCAGAACATAACAATTCAAAATTTACATGCTGTGTCTATTACAATATAGGCTATACCTATACATAGCTTTCAAAGAGATAAAACAATAAAACTCTAAGAAACATTCAGGAACAATCATAGTGAGACACAATATTTTACTAATGCTCTGTAGCCCTAGCTGGTTTTGGTCAGTGGATAGTCAGCCTGCAGGCTGAAGGGTCCTGGGTTAAATTCTGCTGACGGGCACATACCTCAACTGTAGGCTCGATCTCCAGCCCTGATCAAATGCGGATGAGGGAGGCAACCAATTAATGTGTCTCTCTCATATCATGTTTCTTTTCTGTCTCTTCCCATCCCTTCCATTAAATTTTATTGATTTTTTACAGAGGAAGGGAGAGGGATAGTTAGAAACATGGATGAGAGAGAAACATCGACTAGTTGCTTCCTGCACACCCCCTACTGGGGATGTACCCGCAACCAAGGTACATACCTTTGACTAGAATTGAACTTGGGACCCTTCAGTCCACAGGCTGACGCTCTATCCACCGAGCCAAACTGGTTAGGGCTTCATATATTTAAAACACACACGTACATATAAACTAAAACGAATTTCTTAAGAATTTTTTTCTTGAGGTGTTATTAAATACCCAATAGTATATGGAGTTACATAAAGTCAAACATAAAAAATATATAAATTCATAAAGGATTTTCTGTCCAGTTTCATATGTAAACACAGGAACATTCAAAAACTGCATCAAATAAAAATGAGAGGTGGCACAGTAGTGTAAAGTACCATTCAGAAGAAATTACCAGATGTGAGTTCTAATTATGATGAAATATCTGATTTAGTTTACCTCAAGAAGTCTTATTTTCCTTATTGGAAGAAGGGGTGGGGCCCAGTAAAAATGTGCTGACTTTTAGTGTTCCCTCCAGTGCTAAAATTCTATGAGTTTAAACACTAAAAACCCACAGTGGGTTGAGAATACTAAATAATGAAAGGCACTCATAATAATAATTTCAGTTATTAAATCATAAAATAATTTGGAAGAAAAGAAAAAGTGATGAAATATTACTTTCTTGTTGGGTACCAATTGAAATTGTTTCAGAAATTTCCAAAAGCTTTTCTCTAACATTAACAATTTAAAAACTCAGTATCAGACTGGTAGTTCCAAAACCATAGTTCATTCTTATCACTTACAAAGGAGTCGTGTGTACCACCATGCTCATTCTGTTTTCTCCTTGCTAATTCCTCTCTATCATATAAGGCCCAACTCAGGTTCCCTTCAACAGATTTGCTCATTCTTTCTACATCCCTGGTTCTTTGTACACAAAGCCAGAACCTGTGTATCAAGAGAGGAGTGCCTAGCAGTGTGCAGAATAGAAAATGTTTACTGGTTATTATTGGATCAGTTCTGAAAGTCTCACCCTGATCTTCCTCAATTTCCATAGGCAGTTTATCTTACCTATCCAGATCATCTCTCTTCTGACAATTCCTTATATACTGTTTCCCTTCCTGCTTTTAAGTTTGTCCTTATATTCATTCAAGGATTATATGGTATAGTGCAAAGAACACGTATGAAACGTAAATATATAACTGCCATTTTTATAAGTCAAAAACAATCAAATATCAAAAAATTCACATGATTTAGTACAGTGATTTTCAACCTTTTTCATCTCATAGCACACATAAGCTAATTACTAAAATTCTGTGGCACTCCATAAAACATATATTTTTTCCAACCTGAAAAAGAAATGATTTTGATTCATTCACACCTGATAGTCATTGTTGTGTTGGTTATTATTTTTTAATTTGACAATCTAAAAAAAAAAAAGAGGTCAGTGCCCCTGACTAAATAATCAGGTACTATATATTTTAAAAATTCTTGCTGATTTAGTCTATTACTTGGGAGGCCTGGGTTTAAATCTCAGTTCCGATATTTATAGCTGTGTAAACTGAAATAAGTAACTTAGCCTCTCTGAGAAATAGACTCTTCATTTATCAAGAGTGGATAAATAGCTATAGTTAGAAGTCAGGCCTTGGAGTCAATACAGAGTTTGAGTCTCTGGTCTGCCATCTAGAGCACTGTGACTTTAGCTAAGTTCTTTAACCTTTAAGGCGATAGTAAAATGAAGACAGTATTACCTACCTCATCAGGTTGTGAAAAATCAAATGAAATAAGGTACTTGAAGTGGCTTGACATAAAGATAGGTATGTATGAATAGATTTGTAGCACCTAACAATTCCCTTTCTAGATAAAAAAAATCACAGTTCTTACATAAAACATATTCAGTGACTAAATCCTATCATAAAGACATTTTGCTCCTCAAATTTTTGCAGTATTCATAGTCTGTCCTACATAAACTTCAACTTTAGTCAGAAATGCTTTATACTTTCAAAGTTTGTGATTTTGAAAAAGCATAAAAATCGCCTAAGGGCAGAGATCATGTGTACTTTTGTATTATAGTCCCCAGGATTCAGAAAATTACTGACTATACAATAACCACATAATCAATACTCATTGAATAAAATGATAAATAAGCTGTTAGCACTCAGAAATAAGACTACTGCTTAGGCTTATTTACCTTTTACACATCAGAAGAGTAAGAATACACACCAAAGAGAACCAGTGATGAAATATATCTCTTATTTTTAGATTGCTGTTACCCCTGGTACAAGTACAGATATTATGACATTATTGCTAAGTCCTTTTAACCTCTTTTATTGAAAGCAAGTCTTGTGATTTAAAAAGAGTACAATGATTTGACCATAGTTATACTGTAATTTGTACTGTAAAACATTTTTTCAAAAAGCTAGCAAAGGAGGGTTTCACAGTCAATTTAATTTTATATTGTTTTAATATTTTAAGAAAGATAAATATAAATGTTTATGGCATGTGAGACTCAGTATCAGTTATGA